ATACGGCAAAGTGAAACGCTCCCATAACGAGGCGACAGTGAAGATGTGAATTCTCGCGCGATAACTTTAATGAGAAACTATGGGTTTGTAGTTATTGATTTTTGAAGCTTATTTATTAGCATCAACAAACGTCGCTTCGTTCCAGAGGTGAAAGGCCATTGCATCCATCGTTTTAGTTTTACCCAAATGGCAATTTCGTAAGTTTAATTTAATTTAATTACACGCTACTGCAGGAAGAATACTGTTGCAAACCGCGTTTGCATTTCGCTTTCTTTTCCAGCTCATGCGGAACAATCAAGTTAGCCATGATGCAGTGTATTCTAGGCTACCTGCAAATGAAAGTAAGACGTGAAGTTTTGTAAATTTGTTAGGTGGCAAAACTTTCGCGACTTCTACGCATTCCTTTATCGGCTACAGATGGGGCGAACTAAAAACGACTCCTCAACAACGGTAAAAACGGAAACTCTGGACGAAGTGGAAACGGGGCCGGAAGATTGCAGCGTTTCGCTTGCCGGAGCTTCGGACTTCACGAGCCGCGAGAACTATGACCAGCTTTGCGCTTTGGTCAATGAAATTGCCAGTCCGCTTGCGTCCAGGAAACTGGCGAAAAAGTTGTACAAGTTGCTGCGAAAGTCATCCGAGCACGGAAAGAATTATTGCATCTATGGAATTACGGCGGTGCAAAAAGCCCTCAAGTAAGCCTAGAATTGGGTGCAGTTTGAATCGTCATTTTCTGCGCATGCTACCCATAGATTAGGCGGGCTTTAGTGCTTTTGTCATGACTTTTATGAATTGCAATGTTCGATTTTTAGTCGGTAAGGTAGTGATGCACATCTTTCAGTCATCCCACTCCAGTTAGTGAATGGGCGGTCTTTGCAATCCACAAACCGGAATTGGATCACACCTAAACCTTTGGATTTGTAGTCTGTTGTTGTCTTTACGTAGACTGTATGTGTGTCTATCCAGAGACACCTATTTTGTTCAGTTACAAAAACTAGCGAAAGAAAAACGGGTACATGAAGCGTGAGGACCAAAAATAAAGCAATGTCGATTCGTTGCAAAACGTTCAGCGTATAAACTGCTGCCATATATGAAGCGATTACATGTGAAAATGTTTTCAGGAGAGGTGCAACTGGCCTGTGCGTTTTGGCGGGAGATGTATCCCCAATTGACACTTATTGTCATATTCCTGCTGTCTGCGAAAGTAAAGGTATGTCGTACATCTACCTTCCCAGCAAGAATCATATGGGTGCAGCGATTGGGAAGAATCAACCTGTGATGATCGTTTTAATCGTTGTTCATGAAGACTACAAAGATTTGTACGATGAAACGTACGAGCGTGTTTCTCAAGTTTTGGACGCTGATTAATCCGTCATCGAGTAAACTTGACACGCCGCCATTGTTGCATCCATTTTTGGAAAAATTATGTAAATTCTCGCTTATGAATTGTTATTCATGGCGACACCTCACGAAGTATTACTTTCCCAAATGCTCCGATTACTCGCCCTCTTCTTAGCAGATGATCTTTAAACTTCGTTAGTCTTAACTTATCGCACGAACTGTTAGTACATTAACGTGTATATTGTTCAGTTTTAATTTAACTTTAAACATCCGCTTTGCTATGCTAAACCGCGTTGGAATTTTGTAGAAAAGTTAGGCATTTCAGCTTATCCAAAGCTCTGTAGACAAATTGGCCGCCTTTCAGGCGATGCCTAAGCAGTGTATTAGGCGCCTGTACACTAGGATAAACTACATCTTAGGCAGGATAGAAAGAACCGAATTGGACTTGCGCACGAAAAATAGCCTTTACAATTTTCAAGCATTCAAAGATTGCACAGAATGGGTTCGAAAAGCATTGTCATGAACGTTTAACTTAAACTTTCTTTTCAGCTTCACGGGGCAATAGACGAATTCAATTGCGTGGAAGATGAAGAAGCCAAAATGGCACAATTAGCAGATGCAACGTTACAGATGGCTGCAAAAGCCATACCGGGCAGTGAATTGATGGAATGCGCTGCCAGCTATGCTGCCTGCCTAAGGGCAATTGTTAAAATATCGAAAAGTGTGACCGCCCAGATTAGACAGGATGTCCTTTCGCATATGTTGAATAATGGTAGAGAGGAATACATAGCTTTTAAGAAAGTGAGAAAATCTCTGAAAAACGCTGTTCTGGATATGGACCACGAAAGGTTTAAGCTTGCTCATTTAGCATCAACTCAGGCATACTATGAACCAGAAACGAAGGTACTACCCGTTTTATCTTTTTCCTGCTTTTGTTTTTCTGTTTTCTTGACGTGAAAGCTTATAGCTTTGGCCTTAGGTGAATTAGCAAACAGCCAATATCAACTTCGTGGGTTGGATAGCTTTTTCCCGTCTGCTCCTATGCTAATCTGTTATATTTTTTGGATTTTGAGCTCAGTTAACAGATACTTATCGTTTTCGTTTCATATGTAAGTTCTTGCGTTATTTAGCGTGCCTCCGAACAAATTTTCATGATAGAGAAGAAAGCGTTGGAGATGGTAATGAAGGAACTGAACCCGTGCATGCTACGTCAAAAGAGTTACAATAAAACTTTTGCCAGCTGTATGACGAAATATCACGCGACTGCACTTGACATATTATATGACTTTAGGTTGGTAACGGTGTCGGAATAAAGCAGTTTTATTAAAGCAGTTCATTCCCAGTTATTGCAAGCTGTCTCGCTAGTTGGAAAGTGAATTCTCAATCAATAGATGAAATTGTGCTTATCAGGGAAGCTATGCACACTGATCATACGTCCTTTAATAGTCAGAGGCTTTTGAATCATCATATTTCGCCGTTCGCATCTATAGTAGGTGCCGGACTACTTATAATAAGCAATATAAGTTCTCAACATCCATATTCTGAGAGCTTTATAGAGAGGCTGATATTTAAGGCATTTATTAGCCATAATGCTTCAGGTTAACGAAAGCAACCGCTTCGTATATGATTGGCCAAACAGATAGGAAGAGGAAGTTATGCAATGCGATCTATGCATTGAAAGGTTAAGC